ACCACTACTATAAAAAGCTAGTAGCATTTATTCCTGGAAAGCAACATTCAGTTAACATTCATAAATTTTTATTCCATTAACAGAACAAAATAGAAAAATTCTATGATTTTCTGATTGGATGCAGGAAAAGCATTTGAAAAATTAGTCATTCATGGTAAAAAAATGTTCAAAACAAAACAAAATGAGTAGACTAGAAATAGAAGGAAATTTCTTTATTCTAACAGAAAGATTCTGTACAAAAGTCCTTAGCAAATGTCATATTAACAGCAAAATATTAAAAAATTCTTACTGGATATCAGGAACAAGATTTAGGTGACTCTATTCAGCATTGCACTGGTATCCTAACCATTGCAATAAAAGCAAGCAAACGGAATAAGCAATATAAAAAAAAAAACAAAACAGATAAAACTGTCATTATTTGTTAAACAATTTTATATAGAGAGCATAAAAATAATCTATTAGAATTAATAAATAAGTACTATGGATACTCATGGAGTCCTGATGTGGCACCGTAGGATAAGCATGAGACTGCTTGTTGCAAGGTTTTTGGTTCAAACCCATCAGCCGCGCCTCAGAAAACCTATAAAGAGGTGCTATGAGTCAGAACTGACTTGGCAGCACTTAACAACAATGGATAATCATTTAGTGGTACTCTAAATTTGAATGTTAACATGAATAATATATGAATGGTTCAATAATTCCCTTCTGCATGAATGACCAGAAAAAATATTTACTTATTATCTCCTGGTGTGACATTGTAGGATCAGCACTGGACTGCAAACTGCAAGGTCAGCAGTTCAAACACACCAGCTGCTCCTCAGAAACCCTATACCGGATCTCTATGTGTCGGAATCGACTTGACAGCAGTTAACAACAGCAGCTAAAATATATGTATAAAAATGTTCATAGCTTCCAATAGGAAGCACTCTAATGGCCATTAACAGTAGAGTGAATAAATAAATACAACAGAATTCCACGCAGCAGCACAACAAACATTCTCACACATATTGTTGCATTGAGGGAACCAAATACAAAAAGGTTTTAAGACTCCATTTATAGAAAAATTTAAATCAGGCAAAGTCAACCTAAAGTGTTTGAAGTCATAATTATTGCCTTTTTAGGAGTTGCTAGAAGGGCATGAAGAAAAGTTCTAGAATGTTGCTAATCTTGTTTCATTATCAGCATTCTAATTATAAAAGTGCATTCTCTTTGTAAACATTCAAAGAGCTGTACCCTTATGATTTGTCAACTTTTCTATGTTTATGTTATATATATATTTTTAAAAATTGTATTAAAAATTCCTTTTAAAACAAAATGGGAAAAGCAGATCAAAGAATTCTAAAAGAATTAGTCGTTCGTTGTAACAATTCACTAGAAAAGTTATAGGACTAAGTAGAAATTCTCTGAGGAGTGCAAAGTATTGTAATTGTAAGAGGCATGGAAGGAAAATGAGACTGGGGAAATGTATGGGGAACATTAGTAAAATCTGTAAGTTTAACTTAACACAATTTAGAGCAGTTAGGGCATAGTGTTAAGACTTTAGAAAACTGTTTTATGAGTATACAAGTAGTTATCATATTGTTTTCTAGTCTTTGTAAGTTTGAAATTTTACAACAAAGTACAAAAAATTCCTATAAATCATAATTTATTTATGTGACACAGCCTATTATTGGAATAAAGAAAAAAATTGAAATTTCAGTAGCTGCATTAAAATATTCAATAAAATTAAACCAACCATGCAGTTAGCAGTTCAGAGCTTATGCTACAGTGACACACAAAGATCCCTTATGGCACTTACAGAATTAAGCTTAAAAAAAAAAAAAAAATTAAACATTTATTTTTGCTAATAGCACCAGGCAAATTAGAATTATAAGCAGAAGTCCTTAACTTGATGGGAAAATGTATTAAATCTTACAGTATATATAGCATCAAATGTTAGAACTATAGAGAAATTCTGACTGAAATCAGGAGCTAGTTAAAGATGGATATTATCTTCTCCCCCGATTCAACCCTGTCTTGAAGGTCTGAAACAATAAGCAGACAATACAGAGAAATAAGTGAATTGAAATAAAATAAATATTTCTTTTTTTTTCAGGTAATATGTTTTCCTCCAAGAGTAAGTCAAGAAAATGTAGAAAGAAATTATTGAAACTAAAAAGAAATTTGATAATGGTTTTGGATATAAAATCAGTACACAAAAATCTACCTCTTTATACCAGCAATAAACAAGTAGAAATTATTGTAAAATATTCTGATTCACAAAAGCACAAAAATGGTAAGTCATCTATGAAGCAACATCATGAAACATTATGAAAGGACATTAAAAAAATAAAACTAACCCTGATCCTGGGCCCTTACAATTGTTGCCACGCTTGAGCCCATTGATGCTGCCACTTTGCCAATCCATTCCTCCTTGCCTCTGACCCTCCACCTTACCAAACATGATATCCTTCTCCAGCAACTCGTCCCTCCTGACAATATGTCCAAAGTATGAGAGATGAAATTTGTTCATCCTGGCCTCCAAGGAGCACGCTGGCTGCACTTCTTCCAACACAGATCTGTTGGTTCTTTTGGCAGCCCATGGCACTTTCAATATTCTCCTTCAACACCATAACTCAAAAGAATCAATTATTTTATGGTCTTCCTTATTCACTGTCCAGCTTTCGCATCCATATGAGGTTATTGAAAATACCATGGATTGGATCATCAGGTGCACCTTAGTTCTCAAGCTGACATCTTTGCTGTTGAACACTTTAAAATGGTCTTGTGCAGCAGATTTGCCTAATGCAACACGTCGTTTGATTTCTTGACTGCTACTTCCATGAGTGTTGATAGTTGATCCTAGAAAAATGAAGCCCTTGACAACGTTAATCTTTTCTCTGTTGGCTGCACTATATGCATTGGTTAACAAACAAGACTCCAGGATTTGTCAGAACATAAATTGAAATCTTTCAACAAACTGATGTAGTCCTGGATGTACTCACTCAGTCTCCAATTGATGAACATTTAGATTGTTATTAGTTTTTAGCTATTGAAAATAATTTGCAATTAAAACTGCATTGAAATACCATTAAAAAACAAAAAAAACATATTCATGGATTGAATACATAAATATTATTACAGTCATTTGTCTTCATATTAGTTAATAAATACAATGTAATTCTGAATAAATTGGAATCTCTATGCAACTACACAAACATACTCCTATTTATATAAGGAGCAAAAGGTCAAGAATGGTCAAGATCATTCTGATTAAGATTCAAGACTCAGGCCTGTTAAATATCAAGACTTAACTTTTGTTGTTGCTAAGTGCCATGGAGTAAGTTCTGACTCATAGTGACCCTGTATAGGGTTTTCAAAGAGCGGCTGGTGAGCTTGAACAACCAATCTTGCAGTTCAAATCGACCTTGCAGTCTAGCACATTAACCCGCAGTGCCACACTTTCATTTCCATGTAATTAAGAGAGTGGTATGATGCAATGAGATAAAAAATAGACCAATGCGATATAGTATATATACTAGAAATAGGTTGTTGTTGTTATGTGCTGTGGAGTCAGTTCCGATTTATAGCCACCCTGTACAGGGTTTACGAGGCTGTAAATCTTTAAGGGAGCAGAAAGCCTCGTCTTTCTCCCGCGGAACAGCTGGTAGTTTCAAACTGCTGACCTTGCAGTTCGCAGCCTGATTCATAATCAGTACATTACCAGAGCTCCTTAGATCAGAAACATACTTCTTGTGTCTTGATTAAGAAATCCTTCACTTCCTTTATTCCCACTAGGAATAATTTCTGTGGATTATTTAAATTATAGATCCAATTTTAACTATTTTTTATGTGGATAGCTTTGTATCCAGAATATTTTTTGATTTAATTCAGCTACCTCCTGATGTAAACTCCACATATATCAAATATATCTATTTACATGTGAGTATGAGTCCTGGTGTGGTGCTGTGAGTTAATGAGCCAGACTGCAAAGCCATTTGAACTGCAAGGTCGGCAGTTGAAGCTCACCAGCCACTCCTCGGAAACCCTATACAGGGTCGATATGGGTCGGAACCGACTCAACGGCACTTCACAACAACAACAACAACAACATGTTTCTAATCTCACATATAAATATATATTTTGATCCAGCAATTTCAGTTCTTTATAAGTACCCTCGAGGAACCCTACTGCATGGACAGAATATTATTGTTTCTAACAAAATAAAGGGAAACTGCTAGATGTCCATCACTTTAGGAATGGATATTTACACGATAATGTAGTTCTGCAACAGGAAGCCTGACAGTGGATTAAATAAATAAAGTAGAATTAAACTTAACATGGATAAATATGAAAAGCAAAATTGAATGAACAAAGCAAACTATAAGATTATGATGTGTACAGTATATTATTTAATAACTTTTGAACATCTAGAAATTGATATAATTTTTATAGAACAATAAAATTATAGTCAAAATGATAACAGAAATGTACAGTGATGAGCAATGTTTTCTGAAAAGTGCTATATGATGAGAAATGAGGAAGTATGATTGGGGATTTATGAAAGGAGCATCTGTTAAATCTATACATTTAATCTAGAAACAGCTAACATAAATAGGGCAAAAAAATTAAGATTTTGTAAAGTTGGGTGCTGTGCGTACAAGTGTTTATCGTATTGTTTTGTATTCTTTTATATATGTTGGCAATATTTTACAATAAGCTAAGCAAATAAAAGGAGCCAAAGTATTATTCTGAATCTTTGTGATGTATAGAGTTAACAATACAGCAAATATTTATATGATAATATTTTATTATATTAAAAACAAATGTAGAAGAAACTATTTTTTTCAGCAGGCCAGGAAAAACAAAGCCATCTTCTGAATCTTCTTACAGACCCCAATCCATTTACAGTCATTGACATTGTGCAGAATACAGTCAAATGGTTGGAGATGCACAGAGCACACACGCACAAAGCTGTTGCAGTAAAGATGAACACAGACAGAAAGATACAGACAATCAAATTATAGAGCCCAGGTTACACGACGTGCTTGAACACGTGGTGATTTTCTTAGAACGTCTTCCTTTCCACTCATGGAGGGCAGACGGACAATGCTACGAGGCATTGTAGTGGGATCTACTGTTGAAATAACTTGGATAGAATCCCTAGATTGAGGTACTTCATTACTTTCTTTAACAGATTTTCTGATGATGTTCAGCAAAGTAAAGCGCTTGACAAACTGCAAATAGTTTAAGATAGAGAGGATTCCTGAGGGAAAAAAGAGAAGCCAGAGGAGGGAAGTGAAGGAACAATGGAGAGTCACGGAGACATTTTCCTCCATGTTGGAAGAGTGATGTTCACCCAAAGCTCTAGGAATTCCTTTAAACCATCCCAAACCCTTCAGGAAGCTTTAATTAGATTGGAAGCTTAAACGTTGCTCAACGCAACAAATATGAGGCTTCCTTTTGAAAACAGACATATTTCTATCTGACCACATCACAATCCCCCTCTGGGTTAGGAAATGCAATCCTAGATACAAATTTTAAAACTTCTTAGAACAAGAGAGTGTGAATGTTGGTGAGTGGCTATTTAGCATAGAATGCACCCTCAGGGTTAATGGCCCTATCTATTTCATTGTGTATCAGTACTGCCCCTCTCCTCTCAGCCTGGATGTTGATAGTTATCTTTGCCATGATGTGGAGAGGGTATGGGGAAAAAAGGGGTGGAAATGAGGAATTACCCTCTGAGGCAGGCATACCAAAAAGTTCACACAGCCCTGATCTCTAATATGCTCCCTCATAGAAATTGCCCTTGAAGAATAAGTTGGGTTGATCTTTGTTTAAATTGGAAGGTTTGATATCTTTCACCCCATTCACCTTTCCTTATCCTTTCACCCTTCCCTTCATCAGGAGTGGTCCTTACCACCCTTCAAGGCCCTGGAGACACTCACCACAGATAACAATGAAGGTGACATTTACATAGGCAGTGTAAGCGACCCAGGTGATCTCGTAACTGGAGTAGTATACGGATTGACCTTGCCTTAGCTTATTGTGATACAGCACGAGTGCAGAGAGCAGGAGGATACCTGATGTCCAGACAAAAGGAGAAAAAAATTCCTTCTGAAGAATTTTGTCTCAAGTACTCAAGTCTTTGCCCAGAGGTACCCCTGACGTTTAAGCCTCTCCCCTGTCCAATTGCACTTTGTGTAATTAAGTGGTAGCTATAATACACGGGAACCAGAGAACTGGGAAGGCTGAATTACTGTATTTATCTGCAAACAGCATGCTTTCTACATTTATTTGCCAACCGTTTCCTCCCCCGTGAGGTATTCTTCTAAGTGCCACTATGCCAATTTTTTGTTTTGTTTGTTTTTGAAAACATGTTGCTATAGTCGGAAACTACAATCTTGAACCACACACCAAATATATTTCCAAACCTGCATTACGAGATCCAGGAAATTACCTGTGAGGAAACTGAAGAAGGCAGTGAAGATGTGGATATATTTGGTGTGAGGAATCAGATAGGTGAATTCCATACCCAGGGCCAAGTTAAGGAGGAAGGAAAAACTGATGGTCAAAATCATCATGATCCTGACCACTTCCAGGTCATCTGTTGGAAAGCAGAAACTGTATTGAGAGAAGGGCAGATATTTCTTCTAGGTTCATTTCCACCTGGGGTCCACCAATTTCTAGGTAAAAATGGGAATAGGGTGAAAGATTTTATTAAATAATAAAGAGGGAAGGGGAGGAAAGAATAAAGAGGAAGACAATTTTAAGCTGAATGTAATAGAGAATCAGAAGAAGGTATCCTTTCTCGTAATGTCTCTATATGTCTCTATCTCTTTCTCCTGTTCTTTTCTGAGAATCCAATCTTAATAAATTTCCCAATTCCCCTTGTCCCTGGCATTTTTTTCATGCCTATATAACCTATTTTCCTGTTGCTGTTCATCTTTCTTTCATTCATATCCCTCATGCTCTAGATGTGGTGACTACCTTCTTGCTACTCTCAAGACTCCTCAATGTCCAGTAATTAAGTCTGTGAGCTTCCTAATTTCCCTCCAAAGCATGCAAAGAATGTGATTTTACTCTGCCTTGACTGTGCTGATTGTGGAAGAAAGCACCCTTAAGCCTGAAGAAGTTAAACCATAAAATAATGGGTAAGCTTGTGGGATGAATGGAAGTCAAAGAAAGATGAACCCTCTTTCTCCACCCGTCTCTTTCCATAGTCTAGTTCTGACCTTCTGGCCAAATCGTAATGCAACATAGCATCCAGGGACTGTGGTTTATTGTGAGTTTTTCTGCTTCCAACTTCAGTTCAATCCATTTTTCTGTGATGGTTCCTATCACCAAGATGGTTAAAGCCAAGGAGGAGAAGAACAAGTTGGCAGTCTGGATATTTCTGATTAATATTTCCACCATTGTCAGCAGTGTTTTCTAGTTGAGACCACCACAAATCTCTCACATGTAGATATCTCTTCTTCTCCCTGATTTGATTAGTCACAGGGCACAATCTGGACTTTGAGTGATTGCTCAGTCATTGGTACTGGAAGAAGATGGTGTAGCCTGTGAAACAGAGGAGATAGTTCCCAGTCTTCACTAGTCCTTTATCTGAGTAAGCCTGCTGTCAGGCCAGCTAACTGCCATGGAATCATCTACTGGTTTGACCCTTGACCCTGGGGCCTAATGCAAGTGGAAGGATCAAGGGGCCCAGAAGTCCAGAGAGAGCTATCAGTATCTCTGATAAGGAGAATTAATGGCCATTAAAGAAGCTCTGGTAGCGTAGTGGTTACGAATCGGGCTGTGAACCATAAGGTCAGCAGTTCGAAACTACCAGCTGCTCCGCGGGAGAAAGATGAGGCTTTCTACTCCCGTAAGGATTTACACCCTCAGAAACCCTGTACAGGATCGCTATGGGTCGGAACCGACTCGACGGCACTTAACAACAACAACAACAACAACAACAACAAAGAAGTTATATGCAAGACTGAAGAGGCCCAATTTGAGAGGAATTAAAATTTAGAGTTACAATGATATATAGAGAATTATATGCCCCAGGATGAATTGACATTTGGTTTATTGAGTTTATTGGGAGAAATCTCCTGTGAATCACACTTGTGCTTGAAGGAAGCAGGTTTGAGCAGAAGGAGAAGTTGAGCTGAGATGTAGCTGCAGAAGCCTTAGCTGGCCCCTACAGGAGCTCTGGATATAGGATGGCCCTCCAGTGTCATCCTAAATGGACACAAGAGGTCCCAGTCTTTGTACAAAACGTTAGTTAAGTCATTAAATACATGAATACAGAGTACTCCTGAGGTGGTGTTTCTCTGTCTCAAGGGAACTTCCTGGACCTTTCAGGAATGGTAAGCCTTAAGAGTCAACACCTCTGATAACAGCTAGAATGAGCTCTCATCCTTCACCACTCCTTTATGGAGCCAGCCTGGTGCCAGGGCTGCCAACTGTCATGGAACCATCTATTGACTTGACCTTTGACCCTGTGCCTAGTGCAGTGAAAGGACTAAAAGGATGTATATGTGTATCACACAATTCATATTAGTATGTTTTTACATAATGAAGATTTTATCTCTGTGAGGTAGATCTTTAGGGTTTCTGGGTTGAAAGATTTATGCCTTTTAAAAGTTTTAATAGGTTGTGGTAGTAATGATTCGAAGATGGACTCTCATTAGAGAGTGAAATAAGATGTGAAGGATAAGTGAGATGCAGGTAAAAGAATTAATCATGTTTTCAGCTAGGGAAATGGGAGCTGATGATCCCATTAATAATATCTAAAATATGAAAGGAAGTACATGGTGAAGAAGAAAAACTGGAAAGTACAGGTTTTGTTTAAGTTTAAGATGTCTGCAGTAAAAATTTAGTTCTGGAATTTAGGGGAGGGTGGGGCAAGAGATAAAAGATTAGGGGGGCATTGGCATAAGGATGGCAGTTGGGACATAGGGGAGCATGTCACCCTGCACGGATGTCACACAGAATGTGACAAGCTATAGAGAAGAACATTTTGGAGAACATCAGCATTTATAAGAAAGTACGAAGAAGGAATGGTCAGAGTTGTTCATGTTGTTAGATGCTGTTGAGTACATTTCAACGTGTAGCACCCCTATGTCCACCACAATCGAAGCACTGCTCAGTCCTGAAGGGGTTCTATGTTTGAATCCATTGTTGTAGCCACTGTGTCAATCCATATGTTGTTGAAGGTTTTCTTTTTTTCACTGACCCTATGTTTACCAAGCATAATGGTCTTCTGCAGAGGCTGGCTCCTCCTGTTAACATGTCCAAGGTATGTAAGACAAAGTCTTGCCATCTTTGAGTCTAAGGAGTATTGTAGCTGTACTTCTTCCAAAACAGATTTGTTTGTTCTTCTTAAAGTCTGTGGTATATTCGATGCTCTTCACCAACACCATGATCCAAGTGCATTTTTACCTGTCTTTCTTATTCATTATCCACCTTTCACATGTATAGGAGGTAACTGAAAATACCACGAGTTGGGTTGGACACACCTTAGTCTTCAAAGTGACATCTTTGCTTGTTAACACTTTAAAGAGATCTTTTGCAGCAGATTTGCACACTGCAATAATGTCAATTGATTTTTTGACAGCTGCTTCCATTGGTGTTGATTATGGATCTGAGTAAAATGAAATCCTTGACAACTTCAATCATTTCTCTTGTTTATCATGACGTTTCTTATTGGTCCAGTTGTGAGGATTCCTGTTTCTATAATGTTGAGATAATCCATACTAAAGATTGTATGAATTTGATCTTCATCAATAAATACTTCAAGTCAGGGAGAAGGTGAAAAAATGTGTTATGGAGAAATTCAAAAGAGGATTTCATTTTGAAGGGAAATTTCATGAATGTAAGTAGATTTATCTAATGCAGCAGATGAATCAAATTAGGTAGCTGTGGAACACAGGCCACCACATTTGACAATTAGAATATCATTGGTGATTTTGCCCATAGCATTTTCAGTAGAATGGTAGGAGAAGTGGAAGTGGAGATAACAAATTTACATGTCTGTTCATGTGTTCCCTTTGAGATTCAGTCTCTGACTGACTAATGGAAGCAACCAAAAAAAATGGGAGGAATACACAAAGCCACTGAACAGAAAAGGATTGTCCAATTTTCAACTATGCCAAGAGGTAGCATATGATCAAGTACACATGGTATTGAAGGGTGAAGCCCAAGCTGCACTGAAGTTACGAGGAATTGACATCGTACCCATTGAAATTTGTCAGCAAACCGATACAGTGCTACAGATGCTTACTTGTCTATGCAAATAAATTTTGAAGACATATTGGTGTATCCATTCCAAAGACAGGTGACACAATGAAATATAGAAATCATTGAACAGTAACATTAATATCACATGATGCTGACGATAATTCAAATACAGTTGTAGCAGCACATTGAAAAGGAGTTGCCAGAAATTCAAAAGAGGAGTGAAACTATAGACCTCATTGCTGACATCAGATGGATCTTCACTGAAAGCAGAAAGTATTAGAATGACGTTTACTAGTGCTTCATTAACTATGCAAAGATTTTCGACAGCATGGATAATGATGAGCTATGGACAGCTGTACAAAGAAGGAATATTCAAGAACACTTGATGGTGCTCATAGACACAGAGACAATGGTTGGAACAGAAAAAGGGAACACTGAATAGTTTAAACTCAGAAAGGGTGTGTGTCCTTTCACTATACTTATCCAATCTTATCAAAGGCTTCATTTTGCCAAACTTCACGATCAACACTCATGGAAGCAGCAGTCAAGAAATCAAAGGCGGTATTGCAGTAGGCAAATCTGACCTCTTTCAAGTGTTGCAGAGCAAAGATGTCACTTTGAGGACTGAAGTGCGCCTGACACAAGCAATGGAATTTTCTATAGCCTCATATGCATGTGAAGATTGGAAGATTGCTGAAGAAATGATTCATTTGAGTGATGGTGTTGGAGAAGAATATTAAAAGTACCATCGACTGCTTGAGAATAAACAAATGTGTTGTAGGAAGTACAACCAGAATGCTCCTTAGAAGCCAAGATGACGAGACTTGGTCTCTCATGCTTTGGACACATTATCAGGAGTGACCAGTGCCTGAAGAAAGACATCATGCTTGATAAAACAGAGGGTCAGTTCAAAAGAGGGAAACACCCGAGAGGGATTGGTGCAGTGACAATGGGTTCATCATAGCAGCATTTGTGAGGATGGTGCAGAATCAGGCTGAGTTTCATTCTGTTGTATAGCACCGCTATGAGCTGGAAACAACTTGTTGGCACCTAACAACAACAACAACATTATGCAGAATGGACATCCAATCCAAAAGCGGAAGTGACACTGCCAAGATCACACACAAGCCCTCTTTTGAGTTGTTCTCCTAGCTGTTTCCACCCCTCCTTAAAGTTCTTCCAACTCTGTTTGTGCATTTGACTTCACGTAGGACCACTCACAGGTTTTATAGCTATTATCTTCCATATGAGGAGTCCTGGTAGCACAGTGGCTAAGCACTCAACTTCTAATCAAAAGGTTGATGGTTAAAATCCCGTCACTCCATGGAGAAGAGATTGTAGCAGTCAGCTTCCATAAAATGGACAGCCTTGATATGCGGCAGGTCTCCCCTGTCCTACAGGGTTGCTATGATTCAAGAGCTACTCAATGGTAGTAGGTTTGGTTGGATTTTATCTTATATACGAGAAGCCCTGGAGGTACAATGGTCAAGTGCTTGGCTGTTACTAAGAGGTTAGCAATTTGAACCTACTAAGGACTCTGCAACAAAATGACCTATCTGCTTCTGTACAGATTACAGCCTAAAGTCCCATAGCACATATGTGATTGTATATGATTAGAAGAACTGTGAGTTGGAATCCAGTGGACAGCACCCAATAAGAACATGTGATACACACCTGAGGAAGTCCCTAAGCATAGATCCTAGAATAATCCCCACAGTGCTGGTGAGGGTCTGAGAATTGTAAAGACTTATCCAGAGTCACATTGGGGTTAAGAGGAAAGAACTAGGTGTGACCCCAGTTCTGTCTGCTTAGAGCTGGGGACCTGGTCTTCCCTGGGTTCTATGGAAAGAGCAAGGTTTGTGTCACTGTGAACAGTTATGGAAATGGCATGGGACAGGTGGGCATTCAGCAACCTAGAGGAGCCTTAGTAAGATCTCATCTAAGGTAAGAGGACCTTGGGAAAGGGCTCAGGTAAGAGGACCCAGGATGTGACCTCACTTCCTTGGCAATGGAACCCAACAGAACTTGGAACCTGGTAACCAGTCTCCAACTGCCCGCCACTCAGCTCACTTAGTTGAGACAGTTGGTGAATCACCATGTTTTCTTCTTGTATGAAGAAACACAAATCTTTGGACTTTTCAGAGAGGTTCAGAAGATGGCTCAGCCCTCACCCATGAAGAAGCTGGCTT